TCCGTAGATCCGTCCGTGCTTTGCTATGTGTTTATTAGTCAAAACTCTGGATTAAAACTTTGTTAGCATTGACTTTATAAACAGCTGAACATTTTCAAGTTCACAGATAAACAGGTGAGTTACAATTTATTAACAATGAAGTGATAAATTAGTGCTCGTTTGGGTAGCCCATGTGGCTGTTAATTCCCTTGCCGTTCTTATCTTATTTACTTTAAGTTTACTTCAAAACGTCACAGAAACTCTGCCCCTGGGTCAGGTGGCAATTCGCCTAACATGAAAAAAAAAGAAATCAACAAAATCTAAACAGACAGCTGAACAAAATAAATCTAAACAGCCTGCCGAGCAAAAAGAAAATCACCACCCAGAACTAGAAGCAAATCAAACACCACAAAAACAGCTCCAACTGCACCAAGTACCACAGCCAGCAATAATTCCCGAGCCGCCACCTATTTTTGTCTCTAAAATTGAAAGTTTCATCTCATTCGTTCAAGAAATTGCTAATCTTATCGAAAAAACCAGTTTTCGCTGTTTTTCTAGGGTTAATGACACTAAGATCAACACAAGCTCTAAAGAAAATTATAAGACACTGATAAATTATTTTACTATACTTGATACTTGATTTCATTATTTGACTAAAAAGTATGAATTTCATTGTTATCAACTAGACAAGAAAAGGCATATCAAGTGGTATTGAGAGTCTTGCACTCAACCACTCCCATATCCGTTATCAAATCTGACCTAGAGGAAATAGGACATAACGTTAGGCATATAGCATGCGAGTTAAATCTAACGCAAAAATATCCATTGCCACGGTTTTTGGTTGATTTGGAGTCTGCAAGTAATGACATTGATATATTTCAAGTTAAGAGGCTTGTGTATTCCACAGTAAAATTCGATGAGGCTAGACAATAACCTGTTAGTTCAATAGTTCAATACAGCAAGTGTCAAGACTTGGAGCACACAAAGGCCTATTGCCATTATCAGGCGAGGTGCGTTAGATGTGCCGGGCCACACGCATCTAACACTAGGCAGGTCCCTCGAGACCAGCCTCCTAAATGTGCTCTCTATGGCGAAGACCATCCTGCAAGCTACAAAGGATGCAGAGTCTGCAAAAAACAATATAAGTTAAGAACTCGGAACATAGCCTTAAAGTACAGTCAACTAAATCAAGAAACTTACACCCAGCCACCAGAAATTTAAAATATTTCAAATTTCCCTGAGTCACCAAAACAAACTACCCATTTAATACAACAAGAACCAACTGCTTCAACTGACATCGACTATCCTCATCAGGACTCTTGCAAAACTAATACCCATACCACCATCAAAAAACAGCAGCCTCTACGCCAGGCGCCCAAGGGCTCCCAACCCAAACCTCATACTTCCAATCCTCAATTTCATCCTTCGCGTCAGCGAATTCCCCCTCATCATCTACCCTTACGAGTCAAATTACCACCACAGCATTCACACCCATCTCATCCTAATGTCCAGAAAAAAATCCCAGCACAAGTACCGTCGAATCCAGACCCACCTCGTACACAACAACTCTCAGTTAACACTCCTTACCCGCCACCTGGACCTATCCTAAATCCACTCCACAATCAACATCCATCTGACATAACTTCCATTCTATCTTCCTTCCTATTGGACCTCCAAAACACCATAAAACCACTTATACCTCTACTCAACACAATCCTGACCGAAATTCCGTTTAATTTCTCTCGATGAGCACAAAACTCCTAACTATCCTTTTATGGAATGCTAATGGACTACACAACCACCAAGACGAATTTGACATATTTATTCATGACAATCACGTATTTGCTTACCACCTCTTTAAAATCTTTAATCCACATCATGATATAAATCACCTTGAATGTACTGAACCAGAAGTGGATATCCCACTCCCAGTCCTGGAAAAACCCTTAATAAAACGCCTGTACCCAATCCTAGATTCTAATCACATAATCCCAGATCACCAGATTGGATTCCGCAGATCCCATTCCACTATCCCGCAATGCCATCGTGTGGTGGATGTTGTCTGCTCTGCATTAGAGCACGGAATGTACTGCACAGGAGTCTTTCTCGGTGTAGAACAGACTTTTGATCGCTTTTGGCACTCGGGACTGCTTTATAAACTCCGTAAATTCCTACATCCTACATACTTCCTCATTATCCGTTCCTACCTAATTGATAGATACTTCAAAGTAAAACACAATAATGCTTATTCATCCATCTTTTCCCAGTCCGCTGGTGTTCCTCGAGGTAGTATCCTAGGTCCTATCCTTTACACAGTTTATACAGCTGACATTCCAACCCATCCTAACAATATTATTACCAAGTATGCCGATGATACGTGTGTCCTATACGTTAATAATGACCCAACCATTGCATCCCAAACTCTTCAATCACACATCACAAACCTTGAAGAATGTTGTCGAAACTGGAGGATTAAAATAAATTCTAATAAATCCCATCAAATCACCTTTACCCTTCGCCGTATAACTATGACCTCATGTCCCACAGTATCCTTTAATAACAACCCACTTATCCCTGTTGAACAAATCCGATACCTTGGAACATACGTTTCCGAATACTCTAACACTTACTAGACAAACGCTCTAAGCTTCCAGTAAATTACAACTCATATACATGACTTCAATAAGACCGATTTGAACTTACGGAGTTGAGCTTTGGGGCTCCACTAAGCCATCAAATTCCTCTCGCATCCAATCCTTACAATCCAAAATCCTTCGGAAAATCCTCAATGCTCCTTACTTTGTAAATAATAAAATAATCCATAGCGACCTTAATGTTCCTTCTGTTCCTGTTTTGGCCTAATCCAGATAACAATCCTTCCATAATCAACTGCTGAACCATCCGAATCCTCTCATCTCTAATCTTGCTTCATCTTCTATCCATGTTAACCCTCCGAGGCGTCTGAAAAGAAGATGGCCTCGAGATCTCCTATTGTACATACATTTTGTTTTTAGAGTGCTACCAGTGGGTAGTTTCTCAACAAATGATTTCATGTTATTATTTTATGTTATAAAATTTACTAAATGTATTTTATTTGTTAATACAGTTGTAAGTAACCTGCACTTGAGGGCCTTCAGATAACAAATGTCTTAAGCCGGCATAAAAATGATAAGCTGTTTTTGGACAATTCGTATGACCTAACAATCTATTAAAATACTGTCCACTGCACAAATAAGTAGAATGTTGCCCCTCATTTGAATGTTTCCTATTAAGAACTCATTTACGTACGGTAAAGGAGGAAAATTGTCTGGTAGATTATAACAGTTTATGTAAAGATCGCCTATTTCTGGCTAATATTCGTATTTTGCCTATTAATTAGGTTTTTTTTAATATATCTTACGTCGTTTATTGCTTTGTTGCGTATTTGGGAGCTCCAGAGTATTAAAAAATATTTTTTATTTTTTTTAAATCGTATAATTCCTGGTTATTTTCGCACAAACATATAATAAATATAACCATAGAATAGTACTCAAATTTATAAAATCCGAAATTATGTTTAAAAAAATGTAACAAAAAAATCGGAAAAAAAATCAATAAAACATGAATAATTAGTGCATATAAAACGAATTAATAAATAAATAAAAAGTTTATAGCGTTAAGTTGATAAACAAATATATATGGTTTACATTTAATATCATTATGTTATGCGTTAAATGATCCAGTTTTTGGTAAACATGCTAATTGGTATTTGCTAAAAACGCCATGATTAATAAAATAATGGATATAACTTTTTGCAGATCTTGCTCATAATTAGTAGCTTAGTAATGGGTCTGAGGTTATCACTTACTGATTAGGGCACAAAGATTAATAGAACAGTTTTCCACTTGTATGGAAACTCTTTTCTTCTAAAGAGTAATTTGTATCAATGTCTAATTGAATTAGTTACAATATTGAATATCTTTTTAAAAGTAATTCCGTAGCCAGGATATATTTAAAAAATAATTTGATTTCATTTGAGCTTTCATTGTCTTCGACTTGTACGTCCTCAGTTGTGATTGGATATATTAAATCATTTGTTCTCATCAGTGTGTGTTGACTTGATTCAATTCAGAAGTATCAATATTAGGTTATAGGCATTGATGGCTTCGTAGGTGTAAGCCTCTAAGCTCTAAACAAAACAACAACAACATTTATTAGGTCATTTATTATTTGATCCATAATGTCCAGTAGGTTGGTTGAGCACTGGTTGTCGGTCGCCTGTTATTTTATGTTATGTTTTCAGAAACATTAGTTTCTTCACCTTTCCTGCGGACCGTTTTGCACTCCTTGCAAACCAGACAAACTATTTGAGAACTAGGGCAACACTGGATCTAAATGGACTCTGTCTTATCGGGGGTGTCAAATACCCAGCTGCAATGACTATCAACAAAGGAGTAGTGTTGGATATCCTTAAATATGCGTTCCGAGTATGCCACCGAAACCTATCGCTCTAAAAGTAGGTTGGCATCGATTCATAGATTGGCTTCGGGTCACCAAGACCTATAGAATAGTGTCTCATTAGGCACAGAATAAACCGGTAGCAGAGGGGAGGAGAGTACCTCTCGATATCCTCCTACGAGAAGACTTTTACATACTTAAGATTAAGATAGAAGGATGTGTACACCTACCGGAGCATCTAAAGATGGGGATTAATGAAGACCCAAGAAACCCAACCGGCGATGGGTGACAACTTGAAAGGGAGCTACCGTTAACAAGTGCTTGTTAGATGAAAGATGGGTCCTTCCAGATTACTGGGTGTGTCAACTGCTCACTGGACATGGGAGCTTTCGAAGGAAGCTCGTTGAAAACGGGATTCCAATATTATACATGGTCGTCAATTATGAAATTATATCGGATACACGAACAACTTAAAAAAAAATCTATTGGTATTAAAACAAACACAACGTTACATAATAAAAGCTACAGCACTACTGAGTCATGCGCTACCGCTACCTAGGATTACTACTGAGACCTATATATAGTGGTGGGGAGAAGTTGCTGATGCTGCACTCCAATATTGGGCTACATGGTGTCTAACTCCTCCCATCCGAAGATTCGAGCTTCCTAGCGAAGAATTGCTTGAGAGACTTCTACCATGGAGGTAACTGATTTGTTTACTGTAAAGAGCTTTTTAACTTGTGAATACTTGAGGTATATATGATATGAAAATAAGTAAAATACAATAATTGAGACAATTAAATATAATATTTCAGATATAGACATATGATGATCCCATGAAAGGCTACCTAATCTTACTCTAGAGGTCACTATATATTCTGTTATGAAAAGATACATTGGAATGACTAAATCATAATATTTCATATGAGTAAGACATAGGTAATATACTGATACCCTTATTTCTAGTAATATTTACCGAAGAATCATTATATCCTAAGTTTAATACACAACTTTTGGGTATGGGGTTAGGTAAGGTAGTATTAGGTAGTGGGTAAAGAACATTCTGGTTATAAAATATATATACATCAATATCTTATATATATATATATATATATATATATATATATATCTTATCAATATCTTCAATATATCTAATAAATGATTCTTGATTATTAATACTATTGGTCTTACACGAGCTAATATCATTTTTGATAACTTGGTGTTACGTCCAGATTGGTGATTAATCAGTAAAACACAGCTTACATATAAACTTATTTATTGAATAAAACAATACACCATTACACTTTAACATCGTGACTATAATAACTGAACAAACTAGGAAGGTATCACATTAGATAAGGATCGCTAATAATCGATACTACAATCGAGACACGACACTTGGTTAATACATGGGTTTGTATTTAATACAACATCTGCACAGTAATAAGTAGTTTTGATATAGTTACAGTTTCCTTTATAAGCTTGGTTGTTAGAGAACAAGTTTTACAACTTTTTCATTGAAAAATATTACAATATGTCTCAGAGGATATTTATAATAGTGTTCAGAGATCACATTCACACTCTATGTAAAATAAATAAAAATAAAATAGAACAAAATTAGATGATTTGTTACTACTGTTGTTACAAGATTATTCAGATGAATAGAGGCTAATGATAATAGATATAATGTTGACAATTTTCTACTTTCTTTAGGGATTGACAAGATATAATGAATTGTACCATTTCTTGTAGTTAGCCATTAAGTTTATAAATCGTTACTTACATATTTTTATTTCAGGTCTGTATGTTTAATGATGTCAGCATGTGGTATGCCGAGTCTGCACATTTCTAAAGAGCTTTCAATGTCAAGGATTCTCATAGTTATATAGTTAATGATAGAATAAAATTCTTCTAAATGTATTTTATATTTTTTTTTGTCAGTTTGTGTAAAGACTTCACTTAATTTTTGATTATTATTATTTATAATTTGTTTGTCTTCATTGAATTTATAAATCATTTTTGTTGATAGCTAGTTCTTTAATTAAGTTATTCTGAATATGGTTTTCATTTTTTTCAAGATTTTCTATAATTTAATCATACCTTTCCTTATCGGAAGCATCCATATTGCGAGTTGACCATTTAATAGCAGTGCCTTGACAATTTATAATTCCTCGCTTAATTCTATCGTGAGTCGTTAGCGATTCTATTTTATCTTCTAAATAAAAATTTTGTTTTATTGTCAAATTATAAATAAATTCCTTTGCAGGAAAATTTGATAGCTCTTTTTTTAATAGTTTGTATGTTTTCAATTAAATCAAATAAGTGCATATAGTGTATTACCGTGTCATACTTTTTTAATATATAAGAGTCGGCAAGCTTAAAAGTCATTAATCCACCTGAGTGTGTCACGTCAGTTATTCAGTAAGCTATAGTAAGTAAGAGTCTGAGTCACTATCAGCATTGGCCATATCACCAGTTGCTCGGGTTTCATCATATGTTAGCAAAAGTCTTCTCATGAGTATTTCTTGATCTCCTTTTGTTTTTAGTATGTGCATGCACAATCTTATTTTTATCTATAAACGCTTTGACAGGCTTAAAGATGTTCTCATCTTTTGTCATAACTCTTCTTTTAATATACGCTTCGTCTTGAATTTCCGGTGGGTCTTCACGATATTGTCTTCCTAAGGCGTTGCACAACGTTCTGTCCTTTTTTCTTTTTCCTCCGATATTTTACAATTGGCTAATTTATGACTAATGTTTAATTCGTCATGATATTTTTGCACTAAGTTTTCTTTAATCATTTGCTCATCTCGATCGGGATTAATAATTTTACCAAAAGTTATCTCGATGGGAGCTAATTTTAGATTTGTATTTAATGTTTTATTAATTGTCCTTATAGCAATATTCACATTAGTTTCTAAACTATTTGAAGGGTTATCTTCTTTTATGACCCTTAAAAGTTCTATTAAAGTCGAATGTGCAAATTCCTAAGGAGTTTAAATTATTTGAGACTGTTTAATGACAATTAATTCCTAAACTTTCTAATAAATTTTGAATAATTTTGAATATATTCTCTATCTTGGTCCATTTTTATTTGTACTGGGGGAGAATAAAGAGAAAAATATTTGGTTAGTATTTTATGAAAGTTTGTGGCATTATTTGTTCTAATAACGTCTGCGTATAGTCTTTTAGAAAAATCATCAATTATTGTAATTATAAATTTACTTTGATAATGTAGGGTGTCAATCATTAAATTTTCATCGACTACTTGGTGGACATCATTACTTTTAACGGTTCGCATTGAGGCCGTATTTTGAGAATTGCGAGTAAATGGTTGTGATGGAAATGAGTCTTTGGTCTTATCGTTTTCGCGCCAGTTATTTTTTTGATCCCACGCTTGTGGTCTATATTGTTGGAGGGACGCTCTATCATCGTTTCTGTGCCGATTTTCATATTGGTATTGATTTTTAGAAAGGCGACAGCCGCGATTTTCATGCTTAAATTAAATTTGGTGGATGGCGATAAACGTGATTTTTATTTTGGTTGTAATTTTGTGAGTAATGATAATCGTTATTGTTTCTATACTGATATGAGGATTGTTGGTAATTTGAATTTCTATAACGATCATTATTTTTATAATAGTCAAATCTTCTAGATTCATAGTTGTTATTTTTTTAAAAGTCTTTGTGAGGTCAATGACCATGATTATTATGATTGTTATTATTAGAGTATTTTCTCTTCTCGACATAAATAGTGTTTGGTCTAGTCCATAAATTCTTTCCATAATGTCAGAACACCGGGTTTTAGACCGGGAGCCCTTGGCAGAAAAGGTCTCATATTTCATACTAAGCTTTGTCCTGATAAATTGATCATATCCTTTGACCTGATGAGAATAATGCACATCTGCCAGCATATAGCCGCTTTAATACAAAATGGCGGCCATGTGAAGATAGATAGAGACCCTACATAGGCTGTAAGTGTATATATAGAGGGCTTATGAAAATATAAAGCTACCAATCCTCTCAATGTATGGTATTAACAGTGTTAAGGCATGAAATAATAGTCAGTTATCCCATACCCGTGGATTTCAACTGTTATATTAGTTTTTCAATATATTCTATAGTTTCCGTGATATCCGTCCTAATAATTCACTAATTTCGATTTTTAAAAAAGTTTGCATTGCATTTTTATCAGTATTTGACTCGCCTACTCTTTATCTTTTCATTTTACGAAAAAGTCATAATTTTCAACCATTTAAAGCCTAGAGCATTTATAATTTAATGATTAAACTTCGAAACTATACAGAAAAACTTACTTTTCGATGACAACATCGAAGACAACATAACTGTGTAAACATTAGCTTACAATATATATATATATATATATATATATATATATATATATATATATATATATATATATATATATATATATATATATATATATGCATATATTATATGTCTTATATGCAGATTAAGAGCTTTGTAATAACGAAAATTGCGAAAAGTAAGTTATTCTGTGTAGTTTCGGAGTTTAATCATTAAATTATAATTGATCTAGCCTTTGAATGGTTGAAGATAAGATAGTAAAGTAATACGTATTCTTGAAGGAAGCTAGTCAACTGTTCTACATATCATGGGTGATAAATAGTCAGGACGCAGTCATTATACATTTTTTTTTATTTGTGCCAACGTTTCAACCCAAACATGTGGGCCATCTTCGGGGCTGAAAATTTTAAAATACAATCAGAGATAACTCTCAACCACACATTTGATTTTGAAAACACAACCATACTTGCCACAGTGCCCAATCCCCAAAAATGACTACTTTCTGGAGCTATATTCATCAATTTGGAAAAAAATAAACCGGTAAACTACAAAGTAGACAAAGAAAAGATCTACATCACATATTCGAATATTTTCCGCCTCCTAAAACAATAGTCTATAATCATTAAAATTTTGTTTTTCATTTTCCCCATTTTCCCGTCAACTTACATAGGTAATTACTCCTACGTTTATTATATATATATTATATATATATATAATGTCCATTCTCAATATAAATATATACTATAAACAGACACAGTTATGTTTATACTCGTACAATTAAAACTATGTAATCCTTAATATAATAAATACTTCTGTTATGATTAATATTGTTATTTTTAAAATACTGTATAATATATTGTCCTACGTATGTTTTCAATCCATTACAATTGTCTTTATTATAAATATTATTTGGCTAACCATTGTATACCTTTAATCAAACTATGTTATATTTATATTGATTGGCACCTCTTGCTTGTGTTCATTTCATTACTAGCCAATATTCACAATTTTGTAACCATAAGAAACAACGCAAATCTTGTACACATCTAAAATATTTAGTCAGCAAATTATTTACATTCTACAAACAGAAATGTTACCTCCCTTCCCCTCTGACTATGTTTACCTACCTTTTGCTATCTGAAAAAGGACAACTGGGAAATCCTCCCCGACCTTTTCACTTACCTACCAAATGTGTCAGTACTTGAAAGCCTTCAGTGCTCGAACCACGGTTAGTAAGAGAAAATATTACAAATTTTTATAAATAGATTATATATATTATTTTTAGTTTGTATAACTTTTTACCGATTAGTTATAGTTAAGACTAGTTAGTAATAATAGTTAAGATTCATGTACCATCAATCACTATAGTTTATTATTTACCATTACCGGTTGTATAATATCATATCTCTGGTTGTATTTTAAAATGTCCAGCCCTGAAGATGACATACATGTTTGGGTTGAAACGTTGCCACAAATAAAAAAAATTGTATAATGACTACACCCTGACTATTTATCACCCATATTACATATTCTTATTTCTTTAATTTATTTTTATATTATTATAGATAGAACGCATAGTTTCTCTGATCAAGCGAAAAACCGAAAAAAGTAAACTTTTTGAATCGTAAATTCAATTTTCCGACTGGAAATCCACGTGCATGGAGTAACTGACTATAATTCCATGTCTTAAGCCTGTAAATACTATAAATTGAAAGGATTAGTAGCTTTATATATCTATAAGCCCTCTCTTTATATATACACTTACAACCTATGGAGGGTCTCTATCTATCTTAACATGACCGCCATTTTGTATTCCGCGGCCATATGCTGGTAGACGTGCATTTTTCTCACCAGGCCTGTGGATATGGTCAATTTATGAGTACAAATTTAGTATGAAATATGACACCTTTTTTGCCATGGGCTCCATGACTATTTAGGTTGGCGTTCTTAATTTGATCTACATCCGTTACAATCATATGATTTAAGAACTCTGATAAGTCTGGGTGTAAATTATGTAAAATGTGACTGTTAATTTCCCTATCCTGTCACTTTATCATTGCATTTTTATTGCTAATTTCGTCATCAAATTTTATTCGAGAAAATATTAATGATCTTCTTTTAGCTATTCTATTTATAAAGTCCATAGGATGCTCTTTTTTTTTTATAAGGATACGAATGCATTAATTGGCGTTGTAGTTGTTCAACAGTCCGTGATTATTTAAATGTTTGTGTTAGGTATAATAATAATGATTCTAATGTTTCGAATAAATTTGTTTCATTGAAGTTCACCGTGAGAGGCCTCTGGTTTGGGTCCCGCGGAACTAAGGCAATCTCTAGTAAAATCTTTTAATTTAGATTTGACAATAGTTAGTAATTGTGAATGGTTTTGTTCCCTTAATGTGTTACTATTAGTACATACATTATTATAAATTTGTCTTACTTTATTAACAAAAAAAACTACATCGTATGGATTCCCATCAAATTCCATTAAACGTCCATAATTTTCCTTTGTCATTTGATATGTTACAGGCATAATTGTTTCTATTTGAATATTTCGAGATCTTAAACGCCTATCGCTAGTTTATCCCATACACATTTAAACATAAAATAAAATAGAATTTTGTACAATGTTAATAATATCTCAAGTATTCTTAAGCTGCTACTGAAATCCAAGTTCAAATGATAAGTTCAGATTGGGATAAAACTCGAAGAGTGCCTAGCGTGAATTTCGTAAGCGGTGCCTTTTATCTTCTCAAGTACCAGAGGTCTTCAATCCTTGCAGTATTTATTGATAGTACAAGCGATGGAGTCTTCCTGTCGTCTTGAGACAAAACATGGCCAAGAATGGCCCCACGATGTTTTTCAACACTACTCAAACCCAGTCCCTGTTAGGGCGCCAATAATAAACTCGGATACACGAACCACTTAAAAAAAACTTTATTGGTATTTTGTTTTCCTACCAAACGACATCAAATGACATTACATATCAAATGACAAAGGAAAATTATGAACGTTTAATGGAATTTGATGGGAATCCATACGATGTAGTTTTTTCTGTTAATGAAGTAAGACAAATTTATAATAATGTATGTACTAATAGTAACACATTAAGGGAACAAAACCATTCACAATTACTAACTATTGTCAAATCTAAATTAAAAGATTTTACTAGAGATTGCCTATAAACAAATTCATTCGAAACAGTAGAATCATTATTATTATAACTAACACAAAAATTTAAAGAATCACGGACTGTTGAACAACTACAACGCCAATTCCTTATAAAAAAAAAAAGAGCATCCAATGGACTTTATAATCAGAATAGCTAAAAGAAGATCATTAATATTTTCTCGAATAAAATTTGATGACGAAATTAGCGATAAAAATGCAATGATAAAGTGACAGGACAGGGGAATTAACAGTCACATTTTACATAATTTACACCCAGACTTAAAAGTCTATCGCTAGTTTATCCCATACACATTTAAACATAAAATAAAATAGAATTTTGTACAATGTTAATAATATCTTAAGTATTCTTAAGCTGCTCCTGAAATCCAAGTTCAAATGATAAGTTCAGATTGGGATAAAACTCGAAGAGTACCTAGCGTGAATTTCGTAAGCGGTGCCTTTTATCTTCTCAAGTACCAGAGGTCTTCAATCATTGCAGTATTCTTGATAGTACAAGCGATGGAGTCTTGCTGTGGTCTTGAGACAGAACATGTCCAAGAATGGCCCCACGATGTTTTTCAACACTACTCAAACCCAGTCCCTGTTAGGGCGCCAATAATAAACTCGGATACACGAACCACTTAAAAAAAAACTTTATTGGTATGAAAACAAATACAATGTTACATAACATACCCTACAATACTATTGAGTCATGCGCTACTGCTACCTAGGATTACTACTGAGACCTATATATAGTGGTGGGGAGAAGTTGCTGATGCTGCAGTACAATATTGAGCTGAATGAATGGTGTCTAACTGTCGAATGCACCATGAGAGACTCAAGGCCAAACTACTGATTAAGATTGAGATATATATCTTGTCAGAGAGCTAACAACTATTCGTTCAACTACGAGCCATGAAAGGCTCAATTCAGTAGCCATTCTTTATATTGACAAGGAGGGTGCTATGAAACCCGACGTGGGCAGCACAGCCGACGATTTCATCATGAAAAATGATTTAAGAAGAAAAAATAGCTTAAAATTGTGAAGTTTCCAAATGAATACCTTTTTTTACACATCAAGTGATAAATGATTCTTTCAGTTGGCATAATGACTAACTCCAATTTTAACATTTTTGCATTCCTGATATTTCCAATATATCTGTCATATTTCTAGTTGGCAAATTTATATCTGAACAGATAGTGAGAAAGTTAATTCCTAAGTAGGTGATTTAAGTGTTGAAATATAGAACTGTGGAATAAAGATACACATTTTCCCACTAAAATTAATAATAAAAAATGTTGAAATTGGAGTTAGTCATCCTGTCAACTGAAAGGCTCCTACAGTGAAAAGTCAATAAGTGCTAGTTTAATCAACCTTGGCCTCGATATTTTTCATAAATACAAAGCAAAAACTTTAAAAACTCCCTCTAGCATAGTTATTAAAGACAAAATATATTTATTTTTTTTAACTTTTTTATTCAGAATTATTACAATTTTTCACAATTAAGGGCATTTATAACAGCGCTCAGAGAGCACATGAACACTCTATTTACAATAAATAAAAATAAATAATACAGAAAAATAATAATACTAAAAGTAAATCTATATAAACAAAAGAACTAAACTAATCAAAATAACAAATAAAACAAGAGCATACTTTTATACAATATTTCCAGAATCTATTCAATTTA